GCCTCCGGCCCCCCGCGATGCGCCCCTCCCTCCCCCACAGTAATTAAGCGTTTCAGCCACTCTCCCCTCTCTGAGTTCCTGCAACACCTTGGGATGTGAGAAAGTGATGGCAGTTCTCTTCTGCAGATCATTACAGCAAAACTGGAAGTATCTGTAGAAGGCTGATGAATTTCTTGAAGTAACACTTGTCATACATGGCGGAGAGATTAAAAAAAAACCTAAGTAAACACAGCTCTCTGGGGGCGATCCCTCGACGCCTCTGCCTTCGGAGAGTGTGGCAGGAGGGAGGTAACAGGCAAACACCGACTGGAAGATGTTTATAAACGCGCACGCGAAGACGTAGAGACGCACGTTGGAAACTTTCTCTTGCTTTGCACTTTAAATCTTTTGAGGCAAGGATGGGTATGGAAAAGCTTCTCAGATTCAGAATTTTTTTTTTAATGCCGGATGGACGGCATACAGTGAAGCTATCTTTGTATGTGTAACTTCTTTTAGTGTTCATAGAGACTTATTTTAATGTATTCAGCGATTTATAAAACGTGCCTCAGTATTACAGAAACAAAACCACTTTCTTACAGCTAGTCCAGAAGTGGCCCTGTCTTTTCTACCAGACTTGCTGGAAATCCTGGGGAAAAAAAAATAACAAAAGGCATAAAATTAGGCAGAGTGGATTTATCAGTTTCAATGCGTCTAGGTTGAAAGTATGGAGCAACCGAATGTTTTTGTTCCGATAGAAGTCTTTCATTTCTCTGTGGTTTTTAGCATAGAAACTTTGGTGGATTCAGCTTTCTATCTGCCTTTCCCATCCACACCCCATAAAATAAATGCTTGCCTCTGATCTGACGTGCCAGGTGAAAATTGGTAGAATTAAAACTGTCAATTCTACTTCTAACTCGTGCCTTTCGATTGAGTTCAAAAGCTTTTAAAGGTAAAACGTGCCGATCATTTATATGTATTATTTCTTTTTCTGCCATCCTGGCTTTTAAGTAAAAAGAAAGAAAAAGTATTTATATTTCCAAATTCATTTTCCCTGGAAGACTTCAATCTTCCAGGTAATTTGATGATGGACCCTGACATGTGTGTGAGACCATCTACCTGGTAACGCTCGGCTGGCCGAAGTGCCGACGGGTAAAGGTACCGTAATGTCCAGTTTTTCCATTTTTCTACCCAAATAGTATATCTGAGGCTGAGATGCCGGGATTTAAATCCAAAGCTTTCCAAAGGCTTTAATATTATTTTGGAGAAGAGGTTAAGGTAGGCAGGGCTGGGGAGAAGGGAGGTAGGAGCGCTTTGAAAGTTAGAGATGGTGAAAAAGACATGTCATCCGACGTGGAGGATTGAGTAAAAGAAGCAGTGCACACTCCAGCTTAGGCAAAGACTGCTGAATCCTTTGAAGAAACTGACACGGATTTTCCAGAGATGGGGTGGGGGGTGGGGGGAAATCCTAGGGTGGGCATTTTATGTAAATGAGCAAATTCGAAATGTAGTACAAATCCGGTATAGTAAAACTGACAGTTCTGACAGTATTGACAACATAAATATATGTTTGAACACTGCACTTTCAGACACTTAACCGATGAAGCAATAAAAAAAAATTCGACTACAATATTTCAAATAATCGACATTGATGTTTTGATACATCATTTTTATACTCCGAATCGATCTATCACTCTGGGGCTGGTCAATTTTAAGTAAAAATGGGCTGCAATTATTTGCACCTTGGCTAATGATGACCTAATCACAGTCCTCAATTAATTACAGGCGAACTGCTTTCTGCTTTCAGTGATGGGGATGGGGGCGACTTGGGGAGCACAGCACTTAGGAATGTGCTATCCAGCCCCCCTCCTCTCAGTATTTTAGCCATTATGCGAGGGGGTCAGGTTTCAGATATAGGAAGGGATCTTTGTCTGGTGGACCACCTAGGACAGGCCAAGGTCCCTTCACCTGAAGTAGCCATCTACTGGGTGTGTATGGGGAATATGGTCCTCTCTTTTACTTTGCAAAGTCAAAACTAAATTTGAGAAATGTAAACATAACTCTTCCCCAGGCCACATGTCCTTTCCTGTTTCAAGGGCTAGATGGGAGCGATTTGCCCAAAAGGATGACTGGAGATGTCTCTGAGGTTCAGAGGATGAGGTGTGTGTGAGAGAGAAAAAACAGAAATGAAAAATTTTGAAAGGGCTTGGGCAAAGCCTGGTGCCAACCCCAACCATCTAATTTGGGCAGAATTTCTTGCTCTGTCCCTATCCCTTCTGACACCCTCACACTCCCCTGAGTATTTACGACTCCTGTTTAAAAAAAAAAAAAAAAGGCACAAATAAGAAAGATGAGACCGGCAAAATAATTTGAGAAAGGAGGGAGGATGCTGATGCGCAGGCTTGCTCCGCGGTCGCTGGCTCTTGGCCCTCTGGGCTGTCCTGGGAGCCTTTCCTACTCCCACTTTTCTTTCCCACTCCTCTCCAAATTTGGCGTGGCGGGGGGAGCGATGTGGGGGATAAAGCAGGCTAATTGAAGGGGGGGCGGATTCCCGGACAGGCCCAGGATGCAAACTTGAGCAGCCTATTGTAAGGTCCAGAGTAGGGGCCGGAGGCGGGAGGCCGTGGGGGACCTCTGGCACCCCCACGCCGAATGTCTCCCGAAGGCCAGGCGCCGCACCGTGCTGTTCCCAGCTCTGGGAAGCCCGGACCGGTCCTCACGCTCTCACCGAGACTCGGCCTTCTGACCTGAAACTTAGCTGGGCTCCACTAGCCCGGATTCCAGTATCCGATTTCTTTCCTGCAAAACTTCACAAATGCTGTTTTCAGTCCCTCCACGCCACTGTTAGCCAAGACGCTGGGACTTGAACAGCAGTAAGACACTACTCAAAGGTCAAGGGTGCGTGCGCCCCACGTTGGGTCAGAGTGGGGAACCCCCCCCCCCAAGAGCTCAGTCACCAAGACCATCTTCTCATTGCGAGGGTTATCCGCCTCCGGCCCTGTCGCTCTAAGCCATCTGCACTGACAATGGGGTGAAGAGCTAGCAAAGGGCCCGCAGAAGGAGAGAAAAGGGTGAAAGTGGATCGCGATGGCCGAAGAGACAAGAGAAAAAGGAGAGAGGAAGAAAAGAAAGAAGAGAGCGCGGGAAGGAGGAAGCGACCAGAGAGTGAGCGCACGTCGCGTTTGGAGCCCCGCCAGATAGCGCTAGAGGGCTATTTATTGAAAGCCTTTCCTGCCGCGAGATGGTGAAGCAGCTAAAATTGGGAGAAATACATAAAAGAGGTCAAAAGGAAAGAAAGTGCAATGATTCCACTCCATCTTCATTTAAAAATAAGTTGTGGGTGCTTTATTATTATTTGGGGAGGGGGCAAATATATGGTAGAAAGTTTAAGTAGGAAAAAGACCAGAAACCAAAAACAAGCCAAAAAAAAAAAAAAAAAAAAAAGTCCTGCACTCTGCTGATCCCAGCTAGGAACCGAGGGAATGAAGTTAACAGGTAAGTAAGCAAGTGGGATCCTGGTCCAACTTGCACAGCTGCTGGTAAGTGTTAGGGAGGTCAAGAACAGTTCACAAGGATGAGCAGAGGCTTATGGAGAAGAGGTTTTAAAAGTAATAGATGCCTGCAAAGGGTGGGAAGGGAGAGACAATTACGTTATTGGAAACGCCAAATAAAATATATATCAAAAATTCCAACTGTCAGGCAGCAGGTCTGGAGCAGAAGACAGCCCGTTTGCCTTTGTCCCAGCAATGCTGGGTTCAGGGCTCTTTCTGCAAGGCCTCAAACTCCTTGAATAACAATTTAGAAATACCCTGGGAAGCTTGGAGAAAGAAGATAGACTACGGAAAATTCAGTATACTATACCAGAAACCAAAGGAAAGTGCTACGGATTGGAATGGAGAGGTAAGACCTAGTGACAGAAGTGAAGTCCAGAGAACAGAGAGAGAGAATATAAAATGTCAGAATTCTGACTCCTTTAGCTTGCTCAATCCAGTAATGCAAGAAAGAAAAAACTTCTTTCAACACATACTTTCCTTTTAACTACTGACTTGGTTTTAATCTAAAATTTCTGGCATCTGACAAATTTAGTTTCTCATTCTAAAATTCCACTTTTCCTTTCCTGAAGGGATTTATTTTAAAGTCAAAGTAACCCTTCATATCTTTCTTCCAAACCAGTAAACAGAACCTCCCCCAAATAAAAATGAACCATACAGTAAAAAAAAAAAAAAAAAAAAAAAAAAAAAAAACATTCTTTTCACAAAAAAACCAAAC